GGAGGAGGGTGCAGAGAAAGTCAGGGCAGCAGGACTAGGCCTGCCCTGCTCACCAGTCAAGCCTGTGCAGAGCCTGGGAAGCACCCAGATGGCATTTTAAATGTAAGTCCCCATGGGAGGCAGCCCCACCTGGTGATTCCCTGGGCTCAGAAGCCTTGGGCAGGAACAAAGGGTAGAAACCCAGTGCCAGCGAGTGCAGCAGAAGCACTCAGCTTGCTCCAGGGCCACTCTGTCCCTGCAATCTGATCCCACCTGGCAGTGCTACCGTCATCCCCTGTTCTGTCCTCTGCTATGACAGCTCCCATCTCCTGCCCCATCAGTTCCCTTGAAGCCTGCTCTCAGCAGCTATGAGGCTCCAGCTGACTAGGTAGCTCAAGTCCAGAGCATGGTGGCCTTTCAGGGGTTCCCAGCCCAGAAGGATACAGTCTCAGATCCCATGCTCCAGCCCTTCCTGTCCCGATGAGGACTGTTGCCTCGGTCCTCATCACCAGTGGATCCTTCTTGAACCCTTTCTGTCCTCCTGGACTCTTGGCCAGGCATGACCTCCATATTCCATCCACCATTACTTTGGTTCGAGCCAGGCCACACCCTCCATCCTGCCAGCTCCCTTCCCCTTTCAGATACCTGATGCCTGTTCCTCTTCTGTGGGTTAACCTGGGAGCCACAAGGAACCCCCAAGGAGAACCAGTGGTGCTCCTAATCCCTCCTCCCACCCTAGAGCTTCCCTTGAGGGCTTCATGAACAAACTCTGGTCCCAGTGCCCTCTGGGCACCTGGTGCTGGCTCAAGGTGCAGACAGTGGGCTACTTGTCCTGGAAGGGATGTCCAGAGAGTGGGGTGCAAGCAGGACTGCCCAGCAGAGGCAGAGCCTGGGGGTTCTGTTCCAGAATGGTGATACACAGTAGAAGGAGTGGAAGTACGATGAGGACAGGGTGTGGGAAGGTGTGGGGGTGGTTGAGACGTGGAGCCAGGCTCTGGCCCCGAGGGCAAGCATGCTCAAGAGTGGATGGGGTGGGTACTTAGTGGGCACCCAGCTATCTGAGGCACTTGTCAGACAGTCCTGATGATCCTAGTGGAGTTCTCCACACCCATCTCAGCCCCGCTCCATCAGCAGCACTGCCCAGCCCAACTCTACCCTCATTAACAATTGCACTCAGAGAGGTTCTGAGTGCAAGAATGTCCCTGGAGACACCCTCCCTGTATCTCTCTGCTTGGAGACCTGGGTGGAGGGCCTGCATCTCCTGAGAAGGATCCAGCCCAGTTCCCAAAGAGCAAAGACCTTCTTCAGTTCCTGGCAGGCTGAGAAAGGGGGCACCATAGTCTCTGTACCCCCATGCCTCTGTCTTCAATTGGGGGTGCCCCTCTGCCATGGCAATAAGGGCAATGCCTGTCTCCCCATTTGTCTGGTTATGTCAGAAAATACTCAATGATGTTGCCTCAGAGAAATGAGCCAAGGTCCATTCCATTGTCTGAGAGCTAGGGACAGTACAAATGAGGTCTGCTCTGGCTTGCCATCTGCAGCAGCACCTTGGACCCTGAAGAGTCCCTCCCCTCCAAGGCTTGAACTGAGGAGGCTAATCCAGGGTCAAACCTGCTCTCACCTGCCTGGAGCCCAGCCAATGGTCACCTGCTAGGTCCCATGTCCCCATGGGTGGCTATTCTGAGCAGCTGGGTATTGCCCTGTACATCTTGACCCAGTGGTGGTGCAGAAACCTGGGTTTCCTCTTACAGGCCAAGGACAAGACTCTGAAATTAAGACACTCCTACAACACCACAGCCTGAGGCTTCTTGTGCCATCCTCCCAGGGGTCTTCACCCATTCAGAGAGGGGATCTGAGTCTGTGTCCCCCAGAATTGGAAGGGTGGTTCAATGGAGAGAGGGCACCCAACCTTGTTAAGATGCCCCAGACTCCTGGAGCTGGAACAGTAAGATGCCATAAGGGGCAGGGGACCTAGAACCTTGGATGTGACAGGATCCACTGAGCTCCCTCTGACTGCTGCTTCCCAGAAGACCCCAGGACTCAGACTCAGCCCAGAAGGTGAGAGTTTACCCAGGGCTACATGAGCTCCCAATGTGGGTGAGATCTCAACTCTGCCCCTCATGGGCTGTGTGCAGTACGCAGTATCCTCAAGAGTGGCCAGGCTGGCAGTATAGCCTCATTTGTCCACGTGGGTGGCTGAGCACCTCCCTGTCAAGGCCTTTGAGGCTGTGGTGACTCACCACCAGTGGCTTTATTTCTCTGGAGAACAGAAAGCCCACACGGCCCTTCCTGCCTGCTTACAGCCTGCAAAGAGTTGGGGTGCAGCTTACCCCACTTTTGCCCTGCAAAGCTAGCTATAGGGCAAAACTGGGGGTGGGGAGAGTGGGGTGAGGCTAAACCTCTAGTCTGCACCCATGCTTTGCTGGAGCAGCTCACACTTACCCCAGATCCCCCCTCACTGAGACCACTGCCCTGGGCCTTGGAGGTTCTATGCTGCACTATTCGGGCACAAGCGCCCATCATTGGCAGCCTAAGACCCCATCCCAGGACCCTAACCTGCTACTCCATAGAACTCCTAAGAGTAGGTGGGGCAGATGGAGCCTGTCCTTCCTTTCTGTCCCAGACTAAGCACTCCCAGACACACGGCACGGCTGTGTGGTTCATCATCATACTTGGGAAGTGCCTCCAGTCCCATCCTTCACTCTGAGAACCAGTGATGGTGCAGAAGGAAGAGGGGACAGGCATAGGGGATGAGGAGGAAAGGGACAAGGCTCCTCAAGTGGGAGTGATGGCAGGGCCATCGGGCCAGGTCCCAAGCAGCAGGAGGGAGCTTCCAACACCTGTCCTCCCTACCCTTAGGTTGAAGTCTGCTCAGAGCTGGGTCTATGTACAACATAGGGCTCAGGTGTTCCAGGACAGATCTCAGCCCACAGCTTTCCGTATCACCTGCCTGTGATGAGGACCTGGGGACTGAGAGGGGCCAGAGCCACTCACTCTCTGCAGCTGATATGAAAGCAGCCCCCGAGAGAGAGCGGGGAGAGGGTTAGAGATAAGGGAGTGACTTGGAAGGGGAGGGAGATCTTTCAGGATGATGCTCTGGTTTCTCAGAGTTGAGGGCTGTGCCAGATTTGGTTATTTTCAGTTTTTACTGTTTTAAAATTTATGTTTCATATATTTCACAATAAAAAATACTGAACAAAGTGTCATGGACCTGATAGCAGGTTTTTTTTACCCCCCCTGGGGCAGAAGACAATTGTTGCCAGGCAGACTGTGACTGCCACCGTATGGCTGACAACAAAAACCTTCACTATCCATGGCTGGAAAGGGAGGCATAGTCTTTCAGTTACATCAACCACAGTCACTGGTATCTGTCTAGTCAGGCACCAGGCACTTTGGGGAGACGGATGCTGTTTCTTACCCAGCACTGGGAGAACCTTCCGCAGCTGCTATTTTCTGGAATTCATCAAATCCCAGTGGAGCAGGCACCCAGGAGGAAGAGGGCACTGATTTAGGATGTCGGGCACAGGAAACTGGACCCACAGAAGCCCCAGCCCTGCCCTGTGAGGGTCCCAGAAGGACAAAAGAACCCCCACCTACAGATGGCAGGGCCAAGACAACCATCTCTCCATGTCTGAGCAGACATTGTTAACTAGACCACCACCAGGACATCCTTCTTGGACAGGCTTGTCTGTTACAGCAGCACTTGACTCAAAAGTCAAGAAAGCACAAAATTTAAAAGCACCTCTTTATCAGGAGCAGTGACACACAACTGCACTTGAGGAGCTGAGGCAGGAGGATAGAGAATCAAAGCAAGTCCCGACTATATAGCAAAAGACAAATGAATAAACACACCTGCACAGGACCCAGACTCCTTGGTTCTAATCAGTGAAGACTTGGAACACACACACACACACACACACACACACACACACACACACACACACACATACACACCCACACACACACACATACCACATGCACACACACGCCCCTTTGCCCTGCTCTGTGTGATTGATGTTTCTCAACACCAGGGGAGATCTGGTAGGATATAGTTTCCAGCACGCAAAGCAACTGACTGTCAAGATAATTCTTCGCATGCACTCTAGCTCTGTACACATAGTCCCCACACACTGACCTACTCACAAAAATGATTTCTTTTCCAGTGTGATTTCAGCAGTTGGTTTCTTAAGTGCTCAGTGTGTGTCCTGACAATTTGCAGGCTCGTGTGCTTTCTGTTCTGACTCAAGTAATTGCATTGTTTGGGGAGAACTGCATCCCAGTCCAGGGTTGGGGGTGACATAGCCTTGGGAAGGTGACGCAGAGAAGTAGAAGTTCCTGATCATAAGCCTTCTCCTCTCCAACCAGCCTTCTCAGTCTGCCAGAGTCCTTCACCATCTTCCCTTGCTGGTGTGAAAGCGCCTCCCCTGAGGCTGACAGCGAGAACAGTAATGTTTACCCAAGACAGTTATTTGGGGAAAAGGCAGAAAGAGATATTTCTTTCCAGCTTCTTGCTGAGCCTCTCCACTTATGAGTTATTCCCATGGGCTCATTTTGTTGATCCCTGCTTAAAGCACAGAGGAGAATTTGAGGCAAGAGAAAGTCATAACACCTTCACTCTGAAAATGTGACCACGCTGAAAATGAGCCTGAAGGACGCTGACCCCTGGTGACTTCCTGCTCGGGGCTTCGGGGCTCCGTGGCCCTATTGCGTTGGGTTCTGGCTGGTCCCCAAATCAATGGTGCGCTGGGTTTGGGGCTAAGAGGGAGTGCTCCCCGGGGAGACAGAGCTAGCTCCCTACTCCCTCCCCCCCACTCCGAGCAGCTCAGTCTCGGAGCCTGCAAGCACCGGGGTCCGAGTCCGGCTCCAAACCCCTGCAGGGAGATGCACCCCAATCCCAACCCACCCAAAACTTCTCGCCTGGGAAGCCCGAAGCCGGGAAAGTTGAAGGGCGATACGGCTGTGGGGGTGGGTGGGTGGGGGTGCATGCGGGGCTCAGCACCTCGGACAGCTCCGTCACTTACCTATCGTCGTTCGGGAAAGGCTGGTCGCCCAGAAGCAGGTCACGGAATCGGTACCGCGGCGGCAAGGGCAGCACCTCCGTGTCCCGGTCGTTCATTGTTGAGACTGGCGGCGTCCAGGAGCACGTCCCCGCGGCCGACTTTCCCCGCGCAGGGCCGCCTGCTGCACACGGCAGCGCCCCCTCACCGCCCGCGCCCTCGCTGGACTCTGCGCAGACCCCCGGCCAGCAGCTTCTGGGCCTCCGCGACCCCCCGGGGGGCGGGGCAAGCACCTGCAGGGGGCGGGGCTGAGGGCGGGGCTAGGCAGGGGCGGGGCGCCTTCCGGGTCCTCTGGGCCCTGTATGAGGCTCCTTTTCCTGCCACCCCAGGATGTGTGGAGATTTGGAAATGGGAGTGGTCATGGCTAACTCTAGAACAGCCTTTACGAAGGTCCCTGGTCTTCTTTGGGTTGGCATGGGAGCCCTCTTCTTCCCTGGACCTGGGCCAGGCAAGCCTCCCCGCCTCCACAGTCCAGCTCCAAGGCCATTTGCTCAGCTTTCTTCAGGTTCTGAAGCCGGGTGTCTCCACCCTCAAGGCCTCCTCTCAGCCTCTCTCACTACTGAGTGGCAAGAGACAGTTTAAGAAGAGACCCTTCAGGGTCAACAAATTGAAACAGATGAGAGCCACGACTCTGGGCTTCCACAGACTCTTACCCCAATCATGGGAGTCCGCTGTAGAGCATGGGGGTGGGGCAGCCTATGTACACCAGGAAGGTCTCCTTCCCAGCGGCCAGCAGTCCTTCCACCCTTGGCCTTCCCGTCTTCCTCTTCCTCCATATCCATATTCAGCTGCACTCACTAGACACAGCACCTGGAGAGTGGCTGGCAGAGTCTCCCAGGCTCCAGTTCTCTGCCTCCTGGGGCAACAGGCTGGACACGCCTATCCTGAAGCCCAAGTACCCCTAACTATCTGTAGAAACCCCGACCTACAGCATTGGACCCAGTAAGCAGCTTACATATACCAAAGAGCAGAGGCACCCACGCAGCGATGGAGCTGTGGGCCTTGGCACAAGTAGGGGACTGTAGTCCACTGGGCTCCTGACCTAGCCAGAGTCCTGTGCTTCCTGTGCCCTGGCATGGCAGAGCTTCTAGGGGAGCTTCGGCCCCAGGCCATTCTCAGTCTAGGCTTCCAGCGGCCCATGATAGGATGCAGGAGGTGGGACTCCTAATCCCCGACTGTCGGACTGAGCAGTGCCCCAGCTTGGCTCAGCCAAAAGCAAAGAGCCCAAGAAGGCAGCCAGTCTTCACACTTACATACTCAGCACTAGCCTCCTGGGCCTGTTGAAGCTTCTCTAAATAAGGACCGAGGGCAAGGGGTTTGTCCTGTGTTTGTCCAAAGTAGGTCACAGGCTGTGTGACTGGCATGAGGGCAGAAGAAGGGAACATTTGCTTCAGGCAGGGGTTGAACTCTCTCCTTCTCAAGTTGGGAAGAGTGTGTGGGCTCCCCGGGCTCCCCCCACCCCCAGACTACCAGCAGGCAGGTAAGTATGGGTACTCCCTCCCTCTGGAGGTGGGGGGGGATGCTCAGTGGCTGTCTCAAGCCATGACTGCCAGTGACAACGCTCACGTGTTTCTCAGGTCACAGATTCAATCTCCAGGATCTGGCAGCACTTGAAAAATAACATTTTCCTAATTGCATCCGTGGAGTTGCTTGTTTTTTCTTAGTCACAAGCTGGCTGGGCCTGGGGAGGTACTGGGAGGTGGGAAAGCATGTGGCCAGGGGTCAGGGCTATATTTCCTTTGGCAAGCTTCCAGGGACCACCACGTCCCTAGGAACTGCTCTCTCTGCGGTTCTGACCTTCTGGGCACTTTTGAGCTTTCTCTCCTGGCCTTAAGATCCAGTAGGGGTGTGTGTGGGGGGAGAACCTCTGCTTACTTCTGGGGGCCCCAGGGGAAGGAAATGCACCTGGAGTCCAGAGGCCTGGCCCCACCCCCACCCAGCTGTGGTTTGGGATGAGTGACAAGGGCAGGCTGTCCTTGCAGCCTTGGAGTGCTGCTGTAACACACGAGTGAGCAGGCAATGTGAGCAGGCATCCCAGAGACCTCCTGGTATCGTTTCCCTTTGTGTTCCCTGGCAGTGCCTACCCCTTCCACACCCTATGAACCTCAATATGACTGCTGTGCAGGCCAGGGGCCCCAGAGCCTCTTGGAAGAGTGCCCATGGTAGGGGAGATGTGGTTGAAATTCTGCTCACTGCACAGTCTGGGCATTGGGGACAGTGTGGGACTCAGATGTGTTGGGAAGAATTTGGGAGCATGCAGGGCAGGGCAACTAGGGGATTCTGTAAAGGTGGGAGCAAGAACACGGTTCTGGCCCAGCTGCCAGGATTCAAGGGGGCCCACCTCCTGATCTGCTTTCCATTCCTTCCCTGGTGAACCTGGGAGAGCCCAGGAGGCAGCTGGGACCCAGAGTTGATCTGTCTTCTGTGAGATGGCTGTGCCCGTGAACTGCCTGTTTCTATAAGAATTCCATGTTTTGTGACTCAAAGAAGTTGTTCACATCTCAGGCCCTCAGCCCGCCCTTAAGACAAGGTATGGAGTTCAGCTTATGAGGCTCACAGCCCACCCTATCCCCACCTCAAGTCAAAGGCAGAGCCAGCAAGGGATAGTGATGCTCTCCCAAGAGAGTCTGTCAGCTCTGGCTGAGAGCTACTGCTCCTCTCAGGGGCCCCGTGATGGTCAAGGGTTCTAAGTGCCTGGGTAGGTAGCCTTAAGCAAGTCCCTTCCCCTGAGTCTTGGTTTCCTCATCTGGAAATGAATGTATCCATGTTGTTTGTCCTCACAGGGCCACTGTAGAATAGCAGAATAGTAACAGGATGGTAAGCATGAGTTGCTCTGTGCAGCACTATTGAATGACAACAATTCCTAGTTTGGGGGCAGAGCTCAAGTTGAGCCTCAGGGCCAACCTATCCAGGTCATCTGGAAGACAGTTTGGAGAGCTTAGTCTTAGGTCACCAGTCTAGGTGATCCATCCAGAGAGGGCAAAGAGGACACAGCCCAGCATTCATGACAGGACGGGCACTCACCGGAGTGCATGAAGCTATAGCCTGACTCTGAAGCCTTCTCAGCAGCTGTGTTCAGTGCTAGGCACCTCCAGGAGCCACATGGTGTCACAGAATGATGAGAACATCCCCAAGCAGGACTGTTACCAGCCCTTGTACAAGGTGAGGGCATACGGACTCAGGAGTGTCAGAAGCTCAAGGATGTTCCAGGGCAGAGTCCCGTGAATGCTGATGCCACAACCATCCTATCAGTAACAAAGTGCCCAGTAAAAGCAAGTTAAGGGAGGAAAGGTTCATTATGGCTCACAGTCGAAGGGTACAGTCCACCATGGTGGAGAAGACATGGCTGCAGGAGGGTGAGGCAGCTGGTCACACGGCATCCAGTCAGGAAGTAGAGAGAGATACATGTTGGTGCTGAGTTCACTTTCTCCTTTGTTATTCAGTCTGGGCCCCAGCCCACGGAATCATGCTGCCCACACTTAGGGTGGGTCTTCATACCTCAGTTAACTTAACCTAGGAACTCTCTCAAAGACATGCCCAGAGAGTTGTCTCCTAGATGACTCTAGATGCTGTTGAGTTAACAATCAATATTAATCATCACATGTCTACTCCTTGTCAGCTTGACATCTAGACATATCACTTTTAAGTTATAAACCTTTCTCCTCTTATCCCTATAGGCTTAAAACTGTTTAATAATGTAAAATGGATTTATTCCAGCTTAAGTCTCATCTGAGACTCAAGGCAAACTCTTAACTGTGAGCTCCTACAAAATAGAGAGAGAATTATATGCTTGCAATATATAGTGGCATGCAGTAAACACTCCCCCTCCAAAAGGGAGGAATGGAAGCATACCAAGGAACAATCAGACTGAAATGAGTCTGAAAGCCAGTGGGGGAAACACCAAACCCTGTAGCTCCATGTTGGGCATCTGAGGCTCATGATGGTTATCAGTTGCAGTCCAAAGATAGCTACCCACTTCCAGCTCTGCTGCCTCTAGTACACATAGTCTCGTGGGCCAACTCCACTCTAAGCTTTCAGCTCCCCTCAGCTAATATCCCATAGTCTTGGCATTGCTGACATCCTAGGGTCTCCACCGCAGCTCAGATTTCACCTTCACAGTTTTACAAAATGGTCTCATTTACACAATGAACTCATGTGTTTGAATGCTTGGCCTATAGGGGGTTGACACTATTAGGAGGTGTGACCTTGTTGGAGTAGATGTGGCCTTGTTGGAGGAAGTGTATCACTGTTGGGGTGGGCTTTGAGGTCTCATATGCTCACCCAGTATGGGGGACAGTTCACTTCCTGTTGCCTGCAGATCAACATGTAGAACTCTCAGCTACCTCTCCAGTACCATGCCTGCCTGCAGGCTGCCTTGATTCCTGCCATGATGATAATAGACTAAACCTTTGAAACTGTAAGCCAGCCCCAATTAAACTGTGGGGACCTGGACCAAGCAGTTTCAAAGGAGAAGAATTTTAGTATGTTGCCTAGAGATCATTCTTGTGATATTTTGGTGAAGAATGTGGCTGCTTTTTTGCCCTTGTCTGAAGAGTCTGCTTGAGGCTAAAGTGAAGAGATTTGGATTAATTCTGTTGGCAGAGGAAGTCTCAAAACAGGCTGGTGTTGACTCTGTCAGGTGATTATTAATGTTTATGCTTGTAGAGATCTATAATGAAAAGGCACAAGCTGAGCAAGGAAAGTTACAAAATATACAATTTAAGAAGAAAAGGGCACCAGAAAGTGGAATAGAGTTGAGTCCTGTGTTCAAGGAGATAAACAGATTAAAGAAAAGCCCGATGTTAAATGGAATAAAGGGAGTGGTGCCCTTAGGGCAAAACCCCACCCAGCTTATGAAAAAGAATTAAGGAAAAGCTTAGAGCTGCGTGTGGTGGTGCACATCTTTAATCCCAGCACTCCAGAGGCAGAGGCAGGGAGATTTTGAGTTTCTGGCCAGCCTGATCTACAGATCCAGTTTCAGGACAACCAAGCTTGAGCAGTGAAGGAAACCATCGAAAACAGAAAGCTGGTGAAGATGCAATTGAACGAGGAGGCCATGTTCCAACCCCAGCAAGCAGCAGAACTTGGCAGCTTTAGCCACATGATTCTGGCTTTAGGGTCAAGGATAGAAGAAAGGGGTTATAGAATCTCCCTCCATGACTAAGGAAAGCTGCTGAAGACAGGTGTGTAGCAGGGGT